TAATAAATGCTAATTCAAAATAAATTGTCTGAAATATGATCCTAAAAAAATTTGAGTCACTTTTTTGAGCAGTAGCAACAAAAAAAACAGATTTTGAGAAAAAAAAACGCCTTAAAATTTCAAGATTTCCCTGTGAGTTAAAGTTTTTGTTTCTTCCCAGCTGGGAAATGTTAATATTCAAATACTGTTTGAGGTTTCCTCTTTATATTGACATCAAAAATTCCTCATTAAAATTACATAAAATTAGTGTTTGGACCAAATGTTAATGTATCACCTTTACAAATAAAGTTATGTCTCTGGATCGGCTCATGGTATCAGAACGATCCAGGTGTCAAAACGTAGCTTTTAAAGCAGGAATCAGAAAATGTATTTGGTCATTCTGACCAAATTTGACTTGATCCTCATTTCGATATGATGTGTCACATATGACCCCTGCACGTACACAATACACCAGTGCACCAGAACTCAGATCCAGGGCTGCCACGGTTAGTCGACTAGTCACGATTATTGTCGACTATTAAAATTGTTGACTAATTTAATAGTTGATACGTCTTTTTCAATAGAGCTAATCAAGCCTATTGTTAGTCGATGGCCCTATTTTGCATGTGACTAACCTGTTTGTCCATGTGGAGGCAGTACTTATAAGGCTGAGTTCACCTGAAACTCATCAGACTGAAGAAGTCTCTTGGAGGAGAGACGAAATGTTTCACTAAAGAACCATCCAGAGGACCTACTTATTTTTTCTTTTTGAGTTGATGCGTCATTTTTTTTCTAACTCACATGCACAGTAGTGGTAGGGCGGCTACAAATGATACAAAGTTAGGAAAAGAACGACGCATTGACTATTAAATTAGTCGTTGACGATTTTAATAGTTAACATATTCGTGACTAGTCGACTAATCGTGGCAGCCCTTCTCAGAACTCACCAGAACAGCTTCATTGTTTTGGGTCGGGGTCCGGAGGGTGGGGGGGCTCATTGATGGGTCCGATGGATAGCCTTTCATCGGAGCTAAACAACAAAACAAATCTGAAGCTCCTATGTTGGACAGTTTTTGATTTATAAGCATTTTTGTATGTCCAGACACCCCTTTTTAGATGGAGCCCCCTCCTCAAATAAGGGGTCTGTCTTAAAACGGTCAGACTCATCTACATCCCTGACAAATTTCGCTTTGATCAGTGCAGCCGTTTCCGTGCTACGGGTGACCAAACATCTTGAAAAAAATGTAAAGAAATAAATAACCAGTATAAAAACAATATACCCCCCCCCCCCTTCATTTACCATATTTACTAAGTATGATAAAAACTCTGTTTTAAAAGTATTTATTGGGTAAATACTATGTTTTTTCCTGGTTGTTATTTTTTAATCTGGGTCCCCAACGTTGAGCCTTGTGGGACACCATCAAACAGAGATTTAAGCCTGCCCATTCTGTTAGTCCAGGTGAGGTGGTCCTGGTGTCCATGCTGGCCGACAGTCCACCTGAAGGAAAGCCACAGATGTGAGGTGGTTCAGAACTGAATGACACCAAATAAACAGACTTTATGGTGAAACTTGAGTTTAAAACAAAAATCTTTTCCACAGAAAGTTGTTTTTCTCCTGTGAAAAACTCCAGACTTGGCGTCGAGCCGTATTTGTTTTTCAAATTATTATTTTATTTGTAGGCAAAATTAAAATCCCACACCCTGAAGATGCTTTCAGTTTCCCTCTCATAAAGCACTAACGATGAATAAACCAAATAAATTATAAGTTCTGCCTCCCGACTCTGATGTTTGTTTAATTTGCAGTTTTCCACCTCCGTTCACTTCTTTGTGTTTAGTTTGTTTAAAATGACACGAAGCAAATTTTCTTTTTCTTTTCTTTTTCTTTTCTCGCTCCCAGAAGTCAGAATCAAACAAATTAGCGTGAGCTTTTCATCAGCTTTGCACCTGTTTGCAGGAGATTAGCGTGTTTGTGTAACGGGCCAGCCCAGATCTCACGTGGAGGCAAATAAAAAGCTCGTTAGATTTATTATCCAAACAGAAAACGAACAAATCGAGGCCTGAGGAGCCGCGTCGGCTGCAGATCCAAGCAGGATCCTTCAGACCTGCTTCAGCTTCAGGCTCGGAACGTCCTTGAAGCACCTCAGAGATGCGCTGACGTACGGCTTTTCTTTGTTTTCACCTCGACGAAACGACCTGATTTGGATCAGGAGCGCTGCAGGTGGTCAGCAGGTTGTTATCTGCAAACTCTGCCGGCTCACACACACAGACACACACACACACATACGCACACACGTGTCCAACGTAATATTTTATCACCTCAAACCAATCTGTGTTCATCTCCTGCTGTAAACGGAGCGAACCTGTTTCTGTTTGTCTACAGATTTAAGACAGAAGCAGATTTTTTTAACAGAATCTCTGCAGGTGTTTGTGTCTCTGCTCAGGTGAGCGACGGTTTCAGGTCGTGTTCAGTCCTCCTGTGATATCATTACTCAATGTGCTCAAATTAAATAGTTAAAGTATCTGAAAAATTTTGTACTTAAGTATTAAAAGTCGAAGTATAGATTTAAAATGAGCAGTTAGATTTTCTGTAAGGACATTTATTAGGAGGTGACCTCCCCAAAAACTGCAAAAATGACTGTTGTATTAAAATAATGAATGTATGTTTTATTTTTATTTTTCCTTTTATTTTAATGATTCTGTCCTGCTGGAGTGTGACATGATTTGTTTGTGTACAAACTAATACAGTATCAGAATTTTACATACTTATTTTTCTCATTCAACCACAGTTAAATTCACTCTATCTTGGAGGCTCAGTTTATATGGAAAGTATTTATTTTAATTACTCAAGTAAAGTACAGATACCCAAAAATTCTACTTAAGTACAGTAACAAAGTATTTGTACTTAGTTACTTTACACCTCTGACAGTAGGGCTGTAAATCAGCAGCTTTATCATGATGCAATATATTGATTTGTTTGGATGGCAATACGATGTTTACCAATGTCTGTGATCGATATATCAATCCACATCAGACATATGATGACAATATGGATCAATGTTTTTGTTTTTCAATCATTTAATCAATATATTGAGCAACCTAATTGTAACATGGAAGGAAACACACACACACACACACACACACACACACACACACACACACACACACACACACACACACACACACACACACACACACACACACACACACACACACACAAAAAAAAATTTCTTTGGTTTGACTAATTTTAAAGCAGCACTAAAGACCTGTTTAACCAAAGTGAAATAATGCCAATAAAAAAATTCGGCTTGAAAGTTAATTATCAGGATTTTACTATTTTTTGAAAAGAATGTTTTTACACTTGTTTTTGTCTGCACACAAATTTAGTTCCCATTTCGTTTTTTTGTTTTCTTTCTTTACTAAAATTTACATAACAGTGGGACTTTATGTCGTGTTTTTAAAACTCGTTTATTGAGAAAACAGAAGTGATCCAAGTACAGAACCTTGTGGAACACCATGTTATGATATGCATATTAATGTACGTAGATGCTTTATGTAAATGCAAAAATATTTTAATTCTTTCATCACAAAACTTAAGATCATTTTAAGGCAAAACCTTAGTGGAGAGTAAAAAAACATTTAGTTACTTTAAAAACAAATAATGTGATGGACTTTCAACCTGTCCAGGGTGTAACCCGCCCCTCACACTGTGGCTGCTGGATATGGGCACCAGTGACCCACGCCACCCTGAAAGGAATAAGCGTGTACAGAAAATGGATGGATGGATGGATGGATGAATGGATGGATGGATAAAAACAAATATTTTCAGATATTATAACTTTCACCTCCATTCTGGACATTAAGGTTGGTAAAATTAAAAAAATGTCAGCAAGTTTCTATTTTGTAGTGAAATAGGTTTTTTCAAACAAAAACATAAATAATTTTTGGTTTATTTCAATGCAGCCTGTTAATGTTCCAGCACATTAAAAACAGTGTTGTTTTAGAAAGCGATAAAACAAATTATTTTCTTGAACAGCTAAAGTTTTTCTCAGAATATTACAGGTTCAATCCTCCAGATAAACCAAACCTATTTTTATTTCGACAGCAGGGTGACAATCTGAGTGAAAAGGTCTGGATTGAAAACCTCCACGACGGCAGGAGGTTTCTGCTGAAATCGCCTCGAGCAACAATGAGTCATCAGCCGTCTCTGTGAGCGCCGCAGCCGGGCTTGCTTTTCGTTCTGCAGGAGTGGGAGACGGATCAATACAGGTTTCATAAAAATAAGTCTGATTGTCAGGTCCTGCTGTCAGTCCGCACATCAGGAGCTAAAGCTTTTGTAACATTTCATTTTTATTCAGGACAGCCGGCGTCGGCTCAGTGTTCAGATGACAATGATGTTGATCGGCTGCTGGACTCCAAAGACTCACGTCGCTTATAGCAGAAATAAAAGAGTACAGAAGGCTATAAAATCTAAAGCTGTTAAAGCTAAAAGAAACAAAACACTAGCTGAAAGCCAAAGAAAACAGAACACTAGCCAAAAGCCACAAGTTTTAATAGAATAGCCAAAAGATAAAAGTAGGAGAACTGTAGGTAAATGAAAATGCAGCAAAACAATAGCTAAAAGCTAATAGCACCAAAAAGCAATCTAAAAGCAACTAAACTCTAATTTAAAGCTAAATGTAGCAAAAATGTTAGCTAAAAGCTAATAGCACCAAAAAGTATCTAAAAGCAACTAAACCCTAACTTAAAGCTAAATGTAGCTAAAATGGTAACTAAAAGCTAATAGCACCAAAAAGCTATCTAAAAGCAACCAAACTCTAACTTAAAGCTAAATGTAGTAAAAATGCTAGCTAAAAGCTAATAATTAATAGCTTCCTAATAGTGTCACAATGGTAGCTAAAAACAGAATTTTACTGTGGAGTGATAGTTACAACCTGATGGTTGGGTTTATGTGTACCGGTGCTAGCATTTCTCAACCAAATATTACATTTATAACAGTTTTATTATTTGTTTTTTCTTTTTAGGACTCTCCCCATGTGTTGTCCGTGCCAAGGACCTGGGTAAAGGAGGGTGGGATGGTACGACTGGATAAGAAGTACCTGCTGACCCACTATAAAGGCGTCGGCTCTGATGATATTCTCTACACCATCCTTACCTCAAATGGGCAACCTAAATATGGTAAAAACTCTGTTTTAAAAGTATTTATTGGGCAAATACTATGTTTTTTCCTGGTTGTTATTTTTTAATCTGAGTCCCCAATATTGAGCCTTGTGGGACACCATCAAACCGTGATTTAAGCCTGCCCATTCTGTTTGTCAAGGTGAGGTGGTCCTGGTGTCCATGCCGGCCGACAGTCCACCTGAAGGTTGGCGTCCCTCGCTGACTGACGCCCGACACTTCACCTCCACGACCTCATTCACCCAGCAGGATGTGAACGACGGCACCGTCTGGTATCGTCACTTCGGCTCGGGCTACGAGAGCGACTCCTTCCATTTTCAGGTCGGCGACGATTCTTTTGTCTTCTGTTTTCTGACCCTTTACTTCATAAACATAAACTCAACCCACAGAAGCTTGTCTTGAGCGTCATTAATGACACAGACTGGCTCCAAATCCAGCAGAACTCCAGGTTAACTATCGGGGCTCGGGTCGCAAAGTTTTTAATGCCAAGAACTTGTTGCTGCATCTAATAACACCACCCAGCTCCTCACAGTTTGACTCAAAGTTTTTCAATTATCAGTGTTAAATTCAACACCATTCTACAGTAGCTCGTCATGTTTGTTTAAAAAAACAACAACAACATAGAAATCTGTCTCAAATCGTTGCTGTTTGTCAGAGGGGTTTTTTTTTCAGAAGAAGAGATTAAATTCGACAGTTTGTCAGAATGACACATTTGTTTTCCTCTGATTTATTGTTTTGTTGTTTGAGTGTTTCTGAGCTGCAGCAGAGCACAGTCTCACTCTTCTCCTTAATCTGTACCATTTGAATTATGGAGATCATTTGGTGCTTCTGCAGCCTGCATTTTGGTTTTCTTGCCTCTCTTTTTTTGCTTTTTGTTTGTTGTGTTTCAGGGAAGTTCTCGGTATGTGCCAAAGTAAGTGATTAAGATGTACCAGCTAAGTGATTGGTACTTACCAGATAAATGCATGGTACGTACTATGTAAGTTTTTTGTACAAACCAAGCACTTGGTGCGTACCAACTAAGGGCTTAGCATATAATAATAATAATAATAATAATACATTTTATTTATAAAGCGCCTATCAGAACACCCAAGGACACTGTACAATAGTAACAAACAACTGTAGAAACATTGAACAATAGGGTTGTGCATGAAAAATATAGAAATGAGGAGTACCAAGGGAAGGGCTCGGTATGAACAAGGTAAGTGCTTGGTACATACCAACTAAGCGCCGGATACGTACCAACCAAGGACATGGTATGTAGCGGCTAAGTTCTTGGTGTAGCAGCTAAGTTCTTGGTAGGAATCGACTAAGTGCATAGTATGTACCATGTAAGTTCTTGGTAAGTACCATGAAAGTTCTGGGTACGACAATGTAGGGGCTTGGTACATACAAACTAAGTGCATGGTGTGTATCATGTAAGTTCCTGGTACATACAATGTAAGTTCTTGGTACAAACCATGTAAGTTTTTGGTTAGTACCATGTAAGTTCTTGGTACAAACCATGTAAGTTCTTGGTACAAACCATGTAAGTTCTTGGTAAGTACCATGTAAGTTCTTGGTACAAACATGTAAGTTCTTGGTACGCACCATATAAATTCTTGGTACGTACCATGTAAGTTCCTAATACAAACCATGTAAGTTCTTGGTAAGTACCTTGTACGTTCTTGGTACAAACCATGTAAATTCTTGGTACGTACCATGTAAGTTCTTTGTAAGTACCATGTAAGTTCTTGGTACAAACTGCGCAAGTTCTTGGTACAAACCATGTAAGTTCTTGGTAAGTACCATGTAAGTTCTTGGTAGGTACCATGTAAGTTTCTGGGACAAACCATTAAGTTCTTGGTACAAACCATATAAGTTCTTGGTACGTACCATGTAAGTTCTTGGTACAAACCATGTAAGTTCTTGGTCGGTACCATGTAAGTTCCTGGGACAAACCATGTAAGTTCTTGGAAAGTACCCTGTAAGTTCTTGGTACGTACCATGTAAGTTTCTGGGACAAACCAAGTAAGTTCTTGGTACAAACCATATAAGTTCTTGGTACGGCAATGTAGGGGTTTGGTACACGCAAACTAAGTGTATGGTAAGTACCAAGTATCATGTGTATTTCTACCTTTTGTAGTACATCTGAAATTATTAATGGAGTTATACTTTTGACAGACCAACAAGACTAACCTAGCTTTCAGTGTTGAATAAATTTAGACTTTTTTAACCTTTTATAAGAGTCATTTTGACGTTTATGTTGAATCAGATCTGCAGCTCAACCAGTGATTTACTGCAGCCACGTCGCTGACTCAGCTCCCACAGCAGCACATTACTTTTCATGTTGCTGATTCCTCTCTTTGCGATTGATGTTACTTTCCTTCTGACTGACAGAGCCGGCCACAAGTCCTCAAACTTAAACTCTACCCACTCCAGAAACTCAGCCCACGAGACACGAACGAGTTCCGACAGAATAATGAGAACAAAAATTGGATTCTGAAGGAGCGGCTGAGGCTTCTGCTGCCGCATGAATATCAGGGTCAGGTTTGATGTAAGAGGTGAAACAAAAAAGCTCCTTGTGGCAGAAATCATTGTTTTATTCAGATGGAGAGGGTTAGACTCGTCACCAATCAACAGCTCAGTTCGTTAGTCTCAGAGTTTAATTGAAAAGCTCCACTGAGACATGAGAAGGGACCAAACTTCAGAGGTCAAAGTCAAAGTCTGAGCTAAAATACAGACAGAAAAGTAAGATAAGAGCAGGTTTTCTTCCTCTCCCTGGGATCAGCAGCTATTAGAGCTCTGTCACACGGTGTTCAGACCTGAACCCCTCAGGGTGGGGATGATGGCTCCCTGCACTTATAGAGACCTTTTCACCTCAGTGTTTCCATAAAGTGCTTCACAGGGTTTTATCTCGTCTGTCAGGGCTCAGATTGAAGCGTTTTGTTGCCATTTGTAGCATCATAAACGTTTTAAAGCTCAGGTCAGGCAATCACACCTGGTGTTTTTCCTGTCAGGACTGCTGGTAGACGGCAGGACTTCAGCTGAACTGGTTTTAACATTATTTAGCTTTGGGTTAATGTTTGATTAGAATTCAGTGAAATGAAGCTTGATTTATTGATTCTCCTTAAAATCTGCAGCAAACTGGTTCTATTTGTCTTTATTTTTCTGATTGTCTAATTTTATCTTTTAGCTACAAGCCTGCTAATTCTTGCTTTTATTTACGACTTCCCTGATTTTGCTGTTTTTCTGTTTTTGTTTTTAGCTGCAGTTTCAACTGGTAGCAACTCTTTTGTTTTTTTTTAGCATTTTGCTAAGGATTTGCTAATTCTAGCTTTTAGCCTCTTTTTTGCTCATTTTACCTTTTAACTGCACCTTTGTTAACTCTTGCTTTTAACTAGTTTTCCTAGCTTTAGCTTAGTTTTAGCTCAGACACTGATTCTAGTTTGTGACTGCTGTTTTACCATTAAAGACTTTTAGCTAAAATTTAGCCAATTTTACCATTTAGCTTAGAATTTGCTACATTTACCTTTGGTTGCAGTTTTGCTAATTTCATTGTTTAGCTCTGGTTTGGCTGATTTTAGGATTAAGCTGCAGATTAGCTCATTTGAGCTTTTAGCTCTGGTTTAGCTGATTTTGAGATTAGGCAGTAAATTAGCTCATTTTAGCCTTTAGCTCTGGTTTTAGCCGATTTTTGGATTAAGCAGATTAGCTCATTTGAGCGATTTGCTCTGGTTTAGCTGATTTTGGGTTTAGGCAGTAAATTAGCTCATTTTAGCTTTTAGCTCTGCTTTAGCTGATTTTAGGATGAAGCTTTAGATTAGCTCATTTTAGCTTTTAGCTCTGATTTTAGCTGATTTTGGGATTAAGTAGTAGATTAGCTCATTTTAGTTTGTAGCTCTGGTTTTAGCTGATTTTGGGAGTAAGCAGCAGATTAACTCATTTTAGCTTTTTGCTCATGTTTAGCTGATTTTGGCATAAGCAGTAGATCAGCTAATTTGAGCTTTTAGCTCTGGTTTAGCTGATTTTGGGATTAAGCTGTAGATTAACTCTTTAGCTTTTTGAGCTGATTTTGGGATTAAGCAGTAGATTAGCTCATTTTAGCTTTTAGCTCTGGTTTAGCTCTTGTTTAGTTGATTTTGGGATTAAGCAGTAGATTAGCTCATTTTAGCTTTTTGCTCTGGTTTAGCTGATTTTGGGATTAAGCAGTAGATTAGCTCATTTTAGCTTTTATCTTTATAAAACTCACTCTCTGCTCCAGTTCTCTGTATTTTTTCAGAAAACCTCAAATTTCTTGAAATTTCCGAGGCTTCGGCTTGTTTTTATCCCGTCTGTGCTGAGCCGAGCCTCAGGAGCTGAGCTTTGGCTGCAACAGAAACAAATAATATTTAAACACAAAGACATCTCAGAGTCTCAGGATGGGGAGGAAACGTCTCCGTTTGTCTCCTCGTCTCTCTGCAGGTGTCCTCAGAGGTCTCGCCCGTCGTGCAAAGTGACGCTCAGACGTTCACCATCGGAGTTCTCCCTCAGATCCCAGGATTCCCTCAGCTGGCTCCGGAC